ATCCAGGCTCATATAAACCAAATAATGGATAAGTGATAGGATGGATGGTTGGATGGATTCTTTCTGTCTGCTTTGGAGCAATAGTTTAGGACAAGGGCACTAAAAGAGAACACCTAACACTCTGATTCAAATGTGCATGGGACAGTATGCGAGATTAACATAAAAATCTGAAGAGGCAGACCCAGACTTCTGATATTTTTTAATGTAATCTTGAGTCTTCTCTTAAGATATATTAAGTCACATATCGAAAGTGAGTCTCAACACCTTTAACAGACCATGACTCAGGCTGCTCACAGACAATGAGGGAAGGAGCCGGAGCAGGGAACACGCCTGTATCTGAACCATTCCAGGTGACAGTTCCGACAGTTCTCTGCTCCGAGAGATCACTCCTAACATGAAATGACCAGACACACAGGGGTATATACAGGGGGCGGGGCCACAGGCCCTAGCTGAAAGCTGATTGACCCTGAAGTGCCCCCTCCCTGGTCACTTACCAATTCATAGCATATCATTGGCTAATGAAAAGGTCGGCCCCTCTGTATGAATTGTGCCCCCTACCTTAAAAAAATCCTAAAATTGCCCGCGCAGAAAACACTACATGAAATAATGTGATGATGTAATTTATTTAAGTGTCCCGCCAGCAAAAAAACTGACATCTTCAAGACGGCTGAAAAACAGCGTCTATTGCTTGGCTCCAATTCCTACGCATAATTCTAGAATAATCCGTCCGCTGGCCCTGCCGCCAGGCTTCTGCCGCCTCAGATGCATCTAAGCGGCCGTGCTGAAGGAGACGGTCTGGATAATTCCATGTTTATCACAACTGTTGTGCTGATAATGAGATCAGCCTGTTAATCAAACCGCATTACTGAGAACTCCTTGGGGGGGAGGGGGGGTCAAAATGCACCCTGCTTCGGCCTGCTGCAACGAAATGGCGCAGCCTTTTATGCCAAGCATGACCTGACTGGTCCAGATGCAGTGCTGCCCTCTGAAACACAGCGCCTCCTTGTGGCGGCGAATGTTAAGACATCATTGGAGGAGGAGAGTGCAGGGATGTGCCGCCGGATGCCGGGTATGCAGTAGTAAATTAAATGAAATTAAACTATATTAATGCGAGCAACATCTTTATTTCGCTTCCATGAGTGTCAGAGTTCCAGATTGTTCTTTCAGGCAGTATTCCCCCAACACGTCTCTGAATGCGAGTCCTTACGAGTTCCTCTAGAGCGACCTTGTTGGCCGCAGTCACTCTGTGGCGGATGCTTTTAGAGCCCCGCGGAGAAGAGAGGATGATTCAGAAATAACCAGACAGGAAGTAGCAGGGTGCACTGGGAGGCAAACCACGGGATCCACCAGGTGTGAGAGAGAAAGGCGTGACTGCGACAGCAGCAGAGCTAGGAGCTCCAATCCCTGACATTACGAGAAGGAACATTAACAAAGGGGATCAGACAGGTTATATTCTGACCCCAAGGATAATCCATGTCATTTTTTTTTTCCTCCATCGTTTGTGTCACTGAATGAGTCACACCTTCCGCTAGCGATAGACAGGACCAGGTACAGGGGTGGGGCCAAGGGGCACCGGGCCAAGCTGAAAGCTGATTGGCCCCCATAGAGCCTCCTCATCCATCACTCATCGATCCCAAGCATATCATTGGTTGATGATAAGTTTGGCCCCTCTGTATGAATTATGCCCTGAATCACAATGGGGCTTTTCAAACTATATTTTTTACAGTTAGCATCCAATTTTAACTCACTTTCCCATTTCCAGTTTTCACCTGCATTCTGCACACTTTATATACGTTATTACATACTGATCACATATTGCACCTATTGTCTGTATGTAGCATGTTATTGTTCACTATTCTGTTATTGCTTTGCATTGTTTTTCATTGTTATGTGTTGTTTAAGTCGCAGGAAGCTACAAAAACGGTTCATTGTACTTGTATTCATACCAGTGACAATGAAGCTTTTGAATCTTTGAATGCCTTCATGTGAATTATGGGCCTGGCTTCTGTCATTAGTCAACCAGCCTGCAAAACAGCAGTAAAAACTTTTAACGGGATTTAGACAAAAATGAATCATTAGCTGCTGCATTCCAGGCTTCCGCTAAAATAACCTTCGCAAAGAGAACGTCTCTGTCACAAGCCTCAGGTCCAAGGGCTGTACTGACACTGGTCCCCCCAGCCGCGGTGAATCTGGGGGTGCTTTCCAAACGGGCTAAGATGAGGAGCCCCCCCCCCCATGGACCCGGTGGCCCCCACTGAGTCTTCCTCACCGTCGTGAATCTCGAAAGCCAGGCTGGTGATCTTCTGCGTGATAACCATCATGGGGCTATCAGAGAAGGAAGAAACACACAGACACAGTGACCAACTAGCAAACTTACACCTTAACCACTGTAACAAGGTTCATTTTATAAGTCAGGGCCTGACCCTCCCCAGCCAACAATTCTTCAACCCCCTGCTGTCTGATAGGAGGTTTCGCAGCATCAGAAGCAAAAAAGGAATTTCCCCACTGGGTTCGATAAAATATCAATATTCTATTACTGGGGACTGGAAACACTGTCCTAGTGGATTGAGTGAGTCCTTGGAGTCGTGATTCCAAGCAGGTTTGAGCAGAGCACGGTTTTCGATAATGGCCCCTCCCCCTCCATAGTTTCCACGGAAACCTCCAATCACCAGTCCGAAAAAAAACTCATCAGCGCCGCTCATATTAACCCACATTGAAATCTGCCGCACAGACATTATAATGGCAGGAACCTTCGCACTGTTAAAATCGAGATTCACACTGGATCAGATATCACAGCGCTAAAATCCATACGGCTCTGACCTTTCCAGAGTGCATTCCGCGTTGCTGCTGCCCGAAATGAAAAGGCGCTCATGACAGCACACAGCTACCGCGTTTCATAGACCGGACACTCCAGGGGGTCGTCGATAGGCCCGGCCGCTCTGGGGGCCAGCAAATGCCGCCCCTATTAGCTGGGGAGGACTGGGGAGTCCTAGCAAATGTCACTGGGTGAGTCTGTACAGCTTGTGGTGGAAGGTTGTTCAGACTGGATTGTGAAATGCTGGACGAGGCCTCTCGTTGTCCCAAGGTACCCAGTGACCAGCCATCCCAGAGGTACCAGTCAGCTCTACCGACACCCCAAAGAATGTAAGGACCTCCATCCAGTCAACTTACCTTCCAACACATCACAGATACTGACTTCAAAACCTACAGTGGGCGGGTGTATGGTACGCTGTCAATTGCCGATTGGTTAGCCCGCCTTCCTTCATCCACATCATTGGTTCTCTTTGGGTGATTGACAGCACAACAAACCCCGCCAACTGCAGCTTTCAAATTCTACACAGTTCCAATTATAAATCCAAGCATGAGCTAATTAGACACAAGAGTCCAACACTGGGGGGTGGGCGGCTGGGGGGGCTTACCCAGTGAAGTCAGCGGAGTACATGCCGTAGTCGAAGACGTAGACCCGCGTGATCTGGCAGAGGCTGAGGTACCCCAGGGCAACGATGAAACAATACCTGAGAAAAGAGAAAGAGATCACCAAAAATCTCAAGATACAGACTGGCTGACCCTTTTACCCAAAGCCACTTCCATCCATCTGAACTGCTATCCAATGGTACAACAGCAGACCCAGGGATTTGAACTGGCAGACAAAAGTTACAAGTCTGTACCCTTAACCAAGAGGGGCGAGTCACGAAGTTTGCTTGTGTGAGTGGCCCATTATGGTTTGTCGCTCCCTACTGGGCGTGCCAGGTGTTGCTCCCCTGCCGATATGAGGTCACTGAGGATGGGCGGATCCCGTATCATGCCACTCTGGTGACAGAAGACCATTTTCTTCAAGGGTTTTTGAAAGAAACCGAAACAGGGGGATACTTCAACAGGATAACTCCGGGGGCAGGGGTTCAGGGGCTAAAGGACAGACCGCCTTTCTCTGTCAAGCCACCATTAACACCCCAAGAAAGGAAGCCTTTCATTTCAGTCCAAGGCAACAAAAAAAAAACAATGATTCACACAGGACACCAGGGGGAGCCATGGAGCAGAGCATGGCCCATGATCATGCACCGGACCCGATTCTCAGACCCGAAGTGGGCCGGACTTCTGCCCCGCTGGGCGGAGACTCCACCCCCGGAATAATTAACTCTCCCGTTTAGCGGGCTGGCATCCGTGGCCTGCGGGTTCAGGCCCGGCTCCAGACAGATGGACTAGCAGGGCCTGCCAGCAAGCTGGCCTTCTGTCTGCCTTCCGACAGAAGCAGACCGTGTCCAAAAATCCGCAGGTTCGAAGATTCAACACGCATGCAGCTTATCACATTTTAATAAAACCCTAGCCATCAGTACACGCTCCCGACAAAGCGAATTAATGTGCGAGTTAACAGCCGCAGGACTAAACTGTGAGTCCCTTTAAAGCAGTGTTTCTGGACCCGGTCCTGGGGACCCCCAGAAAGTGGACATTTTTGCAGAGGCAGCCTCACATTCAACGATGCATTCAACGTTTCCCTAATGATGTGACTGGAAGACGTCGGGTTAAAAATGAAGCGATCAGCTGTAATCTGGACACAGCTTTGTACTTGGACACTAGTGCTTCAGTATTTGGAGGGTCTCTCTCTCCCTCTCTCTCTCCCCCTCCCTTTCTCCCTCTCTCTCTCTCTCGAGCACACACGGCAGTGATCTCCCTGGCCGACGGGGCCATGTGATATTCAGGTCAGCTCGGCGGCTGGGTGTGAAATTACCACCCCTGACACAGGGAGAGAGTGCAGACTCAAAAATAAAACCGTCCAACCAGGCCGCACCTTTGGAGCGAACGTGGGAATGAGAAGCGGAGGGCAGGAGGAAGGGTGGGGGGTGGGGGGAACAGCAGAGAAGAGGCAGTGATGGGGGGGGGGGCAAAGATGGAGGGAGAGAAAGAGGACAGAGTGACAGAGAGGGGGAGAGGATGGGAGATAAAAAAAGAGGAAGAGGTAAGATCAGGTGACAGAGAGCAAGAGATAAAAAGAGAGGAAAAAATGAGGTAAAAAGAGAAAAGAAAAAAATGAGAGCAGAGGGGGCACTGTATGGGTGTGAGGTGAGCACTGAAGCCCACAGCAGGGGTTTGAAAGTCCAGGACGACCTCTGAACTCTGAGTGACCCTTTGCCTGAGGCCAAAGTCACGATACAACAGCATCATTCATATTTTCATGACTCTTCTGCAAAAGCGTCATCTTACTCACCAGTATCCTGAGATCAGAAGACATTAACTATAACAAGACAGGGACTCGGTTAAAAATACATTTATTGGATCAACCAGAGACCAGAACGGAGCACCCCAAACTGGGCCATCTATCCACAACGCCAGGTTTTCTGCCCACTGGTTCCTGAGACAAATGGAACAGCACACCACAGGAAACCAGTAACCAGCGGGACCAGGCCTGCCGACTGGATGGTGCGATAACAGGCAGACTCAAGTGCAGAGGGCTAGAATTCCAGAAACAGGAAGCAGGACCCAGGAAACAGGAAGTGGGGCTGAAACACAACAAGATAACCACAATGAACAAGAAGGCAGGTGGCCGGTGCACCAGCTGCAGAATCCTAATCGAGACCGCGAACCCAGGAACAAGAATAATCGTGACCGTGAACCCAGGAATAAGAATAATCGAGACCGCAAACCCAGGAATAAGAATAATCGAGACCGCAAACCCAGGAATAAGAATAATCGAGACCGCAAACCCAGGAATAAGAATAATCGTGACCGCGAACCCAGGAATATGAATAATCGAGACCGTGAACCCAGGAACAAGGCATCAGCCTACTAGGACTAATAAACTCAAGATGAGATGCCAGCCAAGTAGAACTAAAGACCCAGAAACAAAATGGCGGCACCAAAACCACAAAGCTGGTGACAATGCTGGCAACCATTTACATTTTATTTATTAAACAGATTCTTTTATCCAAAGTGATGAACAGCTGATAAGGCAGGGTCAGGCAGTCACTGGAGCAACTGGGGTTAAGGGCCACCCTCAAGGGGCCCAATGGTGACATCACTCTGCTGACTCTGGGATTCCTAACCTGCTCATCCACACACTGGCCTGTGAACAAAACCCAGGAGTAAAATACTAACGCAGCCGCACAGAATCAGAATCAGAGTCAGCCACCTCAGAGCAAGATCACCCAGGCCAGGTTCCATTACCTGGTTACAGGACGGGCGTAACCAAGACATGAACCAGCCCCAAAGTCATTGCACACCACTTTCACTTCAACCAGCCATTTTTAACACCTTTCACAATCCCTGTGCGGCCTGTAGGTCCCGGTCGGAGCCTGGGACTAAAGTAGACTGTGGCCTAAATGACAACAGACACCAGCTGGCTAAAGCTGGGCCCAAATTAGCCAATCAGTGAGCTCATGTAGGGAAACAAAAACATCCAAATCGGCTTATGGGTTCAGCTGTAGGGAACCTGGCTCCCATTGGCTAGTATAGCCACCCGTCAGCCTCTGCACCAATCCCTGCACCCAGGAAGCACGATGCCTACTTCCTTTTGTTATGAAGGAAAACCAAGAGAACTGCACACGTGTAATACCACAGACCGCCAGCTGGACGCGACAGAGCGGCTTCATGGCGGTACGCTGCTCAGCTCTCGCTGCATCAGGTGTCTCCACCGATTTGAATGGAACCTCCTCATGCTCCTGGCATCCGGCCGGCCTCTGCTGGGCATCCTGGAAAAGCAGAGCTCCGTCTGATACAGCCAGATGGTCCTGGTTATTGCAGGATGGACTCAGACAAGGCCGCAGTGGCTGAGGGACACGCACAGCCTACTGAGAACACAGACATCTCAGGCTGCAGCAGTGCACAGTCAAAGTGAGGCACAGACCGCCGTCAGCCGCGACGAAGCACATGTCTGTACATCGCGCCGTTAGCCGCGATGTACAGACAATATCTGGTCTAGTAGCGCACAGACACTCTGGACGCTATTGGGTGGCGCTGAAAAAACCTCATATCTAGTAGAGGATCACAGTTTTGGGGCGTGACCAAGGCGTCGGTCTGCTGGATGACAGCGGTCGCCGTGGAAGGCAGTCTGAAGGACAGCGTGGCCATCAGCCAAGCTGGGACAGGCCTAATCGGCCGCAGAAAATACCACGGCGGCCCAAGATTGGGGAAGAGGATCGATGGCCAATCGACGGGCTGGGCCCTGCTCCGAGGCCATCAGGACAAGACATACAGCAACAATTAGGTTTATTTACCATGCTGTCACCCGGGAGACCAAATGTCCCTCCTTTTACTGAAGGAGACACCCACAGAAACTAAATTCCAGCCACTGTGAAAATCTACATGAAAGGCCCAAGCCCCCAGTCCCAATAGGGCAGGACTGCTAACGACAGACAGTCATCTTATTCCCCAATATTCCACAGACAGCATTCAGAAACACCGCAATTGGTTTATTTCACATTCAATTATAATTGTACACTGCCTTTTTAGTTTAGCTAAATTACTGAAGTCCGTGAGAAAGTCAAATTATGCAGCTATTTTAGAAGCCAGAACAACAGCACAGTGCTTTAAAATAAATTTCCTGTAACATTTAACCTACATGCCCACGAACGTTGCCATTCCCTGTTTGCGCAATTTCACTTCAACTCTGGCAGTCCGTACAGAGTAACAGCCATTAAACACAGCTAAATTATCCTCTGAGGGCTGACATTGTACTCCTAAACAAATATCTGTGGACATGAGAAATACTGACTGCCATTTATTATCCAGGCTTAAAGTTAAATTTATTTTAAGCCCAGACCTTCAGTAGTTACCCATAACCCCCACTGAGGTGACTCACTGTCCTCACAACGGAGTCTTTGTTGTACGGTTGAGGGTTACAGGGGGTCCAGCATCTGTCCCAGACAGGACGAGGCAGGGAAACGCCCTGAACAGGATGCCGGTTCACTTGCACACGCGCACAGACACACAGACACACTGTCTATGGAGAATTTAGAGAACTAATTGTGGACAACGGAAGGAAACTCACATACACAGGAAGGATACACAAATTCCGTACACAGAGGATTCAAACCCACAGCCTACAGGATGTATAAAAGTCAAATCCCAAAACGTAATATAGATACCAGAAGCATATTGTGCCATAGGTTAACAGCTTAGACCCTAATGAAGGCATGCTGTGCTTTTAGTAAACATTCTGGCTGATCCTGACTGAACTGGCCGTGTCTAAGGGCCATCACTGTGGCAGCCGACAAACTTTCTCATCCAAAAGGGCTAAAATCTAACGGGATCCTTCAGGAAGGTGTTGAGATGGACACAGATTATTCCTGTGAGACAGATCAGCGGAAAGACGCAGCCGGGACTGGGGGGCCGTCGCCATGGTCACTGCAAACAACAAAAAAGAGCAGGAGGAAAAGGGGGCAGAAAGCTGCAGCAGAACCTGCGAGGGTTTAGTGGCGTTACGGAATCAGCCTGGGGCAACCAGACAGCAGCCTCGGGCAACCAGACAGCAGCCTGGGGCAACCAGACGCCGCGCTTAATATTCAAGGACTTGGAATGGAAA